CAGAGTGAACATCTGGAGCATGTGGTCAACTTGCACTGAGGGGAAATTATGTTTTTGTGCAGATTAGTAGCAGGACAGATTTATGGAAAAGATGAAAGTCAAAGGGAAGAGTAGTCGACTGCACATGAACTACTTCTTCATCGATGTCTGTTCTTCCTTCGTTATGGAGAAAGTCAGTGTCTACAAATATTGAAATCATCATTTCAAATGTTTAACCACTGGACACAAGATGTCTCCCACTTCACACATGCTATGCATTTGGAAAATATTTAGACCTCTTTGATTCCCTTTCATCCCTCGCTAAAATACATAAAAGTACAATGACTGGCTTCCACTTTAGACCAAGGAACTTTGCCTTCATCAGATAAATATGAAAATAGTCACATTGTCTATTTCATCGTATATGCAATTTTAACAGCACATTTTGACCAGAGGGGGATTTAAACCCTGATATTTCTTCTAGCTGCACAATATTTTTTTATTGTCCATCTAGAAACATTTCTTTTCAATTGACCCACAGATTATTGTCTCACAATGTTGGTGTATTTGTCCATGTGTAGTTTTGGGATATAACTTAATATACTGATCCGCTGCACAGTGTTTTCATTGGACTGGCAGCACTATATTCATCTCCAGCAAATACACAGTTTCTTTGAATCATGACAAAAATCGAATGATCAGTTACAGGGTTTGAAGTGTTTGCTGCTTAGCTACTGGCAGCCTGGAACGCAGCCGAGTGAAAGGATGATCGTTTTTTCTCTCGCAGCCTTGACTCCTTTCAGTCTTACATGCAGCCTTTCACAGCACATTCAAAGAGGATTTGTACTCAGAATACTGCTGAACTCTAGTTGTTCTCGGGTAAACCAAGGTTGTGCTGATGTATTGTGTAAAAAGCACGTAATGACCAACATACGGTCCCTTTCTGCCCACACTGCGCTTTGTGGGAAAGGTAGAGCACATACATCCACCCTGTGCTGTTGACAAGCCAATGTCCGTCACTCTTCCTCGCTTCCACCCTCCACCAGGAGATAGTCCCTTAAATTCTCATTTGTCAGATTGGCTGCTGGAGGGAACACTGCAGAGATTTTTCATTCATCTGCTTTTCTTACCTGCACTCATGCAGTTAGGTGCACAAAGTCGCCTCTTTGAGTTTTTAGCACACGGCTTGGTGAGTTGGTCGCAGTTATTGTTCTGCATTTACTCGTAAGAATGAGTTTGCATGCGTGTTGTTGCTGCCTCTTGTAGGACAATTGATGTTCCAGGTAGATGAATTATGTATGTACTTTATTGACCACTAGAACATCTTGTTTTAATTGTTTAGTAAATGCTTTTAATATTAGATGATGTGCTGCTTATGTGCTGTGTGTTATTTACATTTCAGCCCTGATTTGTTTGGTATTATTTAATCCTTTGTCTTATAGAAAATGTGACAACCATATTAGACAATATCCGTACAGACTGAAGTGATGTGAGGATCGTCAATAGCAATCTGCTTTTTGTCCTCAAAAGCCATTTCAAGGCTTTCATCACACACGTTGACCTTGGAAATGCAGGTTGCTTTACGAATGAGGCATTTTGTGCTTTTACCATTTCAGGCATCGTAGATTCACAGCAACTCACGGACCTATACATTTAAATGGAAATGCATACAGTTATACATACATATGCAGAAGAAATTTCTTTTAGGAGGCATGGTGATGAGCACAGATTTCAAATCAATTTAGATTCACTTTAAGCACACAGGGTGTTTCACATCTCGCATCTTGTGCACGTATCTTTTTGAATAATGTAATAATGCAAAATTGCTCATATTGTTGGGTCCATGTCAAAGATTGTGACCTTTTTGTGTGGGAAGGGACACCAGTTTAAAGTTGGCATATTATTCATATTTTGTGTAATCAACATTTTCTTGGATAATTATCTGCTCTTAGTTTGGGCGTAAACAGAACAGTGGAAAATGTGCAGTGTAAACCAACAGTCAAAAGGACAAAGACATTTATCTTGTTGTAATTAAACCCAAGGAGCAAATTCACACATTTTAGAAACAGCAGCTATCAAATAATTTCTGATGAATATTATGTGCAGAAAATGCTTAAACTGGTCTTTGAAAAGGAGTAAAATCTGAGTCTAGTATTCAAGTTTACATCAACCACCTACAACTACAGATATTAGACCAGATTCCAGCACCTGAGGCTAAATATTAGAAACAGTGGTGAAATCTGTTTCACATCTGCATTACCTCAAAGCAGATAAGGTTCAGTGGCTGTAGAGAAAGAAAACTAATGTGCAGAAAGTATTGTCTGAAGTTATTTTTACTTGTCTTTCCTGTGCAGAGACCGGGCATGCCTCCATCCAGCCGTATGACCCCACAGGGACCAGCCATGGGCCCCCCAGGATACGGCAACAGCCCCGTGTCTCGCCCTGGGATGCCTGGTGTCATGGACCCGTCTCGTAAGAGGCCAGCTCCACAGCAAATTCAGCAGGTTCAGCAGCAGCAGAACCGCAACCAGCAGTAAGCCCCCCCCCCCAGCTCCTTCTTTACGAGTCTTTGCATGTGTGTCACAATACTGTTGCCGAGTCTACACCTCCGAATGAAGAGTTTGACTGTCTTAATGAGAGGATGCACAGAGCTGCCTCGACTCACTGTCAAACATCTTTTTGTTTTTACAGCACAAAGAAGAAGAAGATGGCTGATAAAATTCTACCTCAGAGGGTGAGTATGAGTCAAATACCGGTGAACTGAAATCCATTTGTACTGGCCTTCAGTGTGTTGGAGAGATTATGTTTGTCCATTCGAAAATAAATTCAGATGCCGCAAAAAAAAAGAGTTGGTGGTGAGAGCTGTGTTTAAAATCATTGGAGTGTTTGCACTTCACAATATCGTCAGTGTCATTCTCGCACAGATTAAATGGACTGCAAGAGCTTTTCTAGTCTTATCGACTACTCAAAGCACTTTACAATATTGGTTTTATTCACACACACATTCATAAAGACGGTGCTATATGTACAGTGCTTACTAACTCACACTCAACAAGAGCCAGGAATCAAACCATTGACCTTATGAGTGGATGACCCACTCTACCCCCAGAATGAGAGTGGTGGTGTCCACGGTGATGTTGTTTTAGGATTCCTCAAAACTGTATTAAAGCAACTTTAATTTCATTGAAAAAGGTGTTTGAATATTTTTCTAGCCTGCTGTGTGCATGTTTACTTCCTAAACATTGTGCAGCTCTGATCCAGTGAGTGGAAGCACATGTTTGAGGTAATTGCTGCTAAGAAAGGTTAAACCAGTTATTGCATCCAAGGGTTCACTTGTTTTCCCTCCAGCATTGTGAATATTTAATGCATGTGATCAATGCAGACACATTAGCCTAAGCTTATCTTATTACCTTGAGCATCACTGCAAAGAACCAGGTTATTCAGACGGCTTCACAAACCTTGTCTCTAATGTCACTAATGTCACTAATGTCCAGTTCCTCTTTGAGATACAGAGCAGCTAGACAGAATGCTGCCATAACATTTGTTGAGAATCAATACATGAGGATATGGTTGACAACTGATGGTGATTTCCTGAAGTTGTACTCTGTTATACTTGTTTAATGTTGCTCCAGTTGTTACCAGTATCTTCTCTTCTGCTCCAGATCAGGGAACTGGTCCCAGAGTCTCAGGCTTATATGGATCTGCTGGCTTTTGAGAGGAAGCTGGACCAGACCATCATGCGCAAAAGGCTGGACATTCAAGAGGCCCTCAAGAGGCCCATTAAGGTACGGTTTCATTTAACTCTCGACTTCCTCATACTCTTGTTTTCAAACCCTAAATTCATTTTAAAGTCATACAGAAGTTTCGGGGGCCTCCATGGTGCCAGTAACTGGCTGTTTAAAAGTGATGAACTTCAGTCAAGGCTTGTTAATCAAAAATATTCACAGTTGTACGAGTTCATACATTTCACAGGCTGCCATTTGTGGGGGTATTGTTACCTTCGCTATGATGATATCATCTGGTATCTGTTCAGAAGAACAGGATGTTAACGTCATTTTCAATTAAGCTAGTTGAGGTGTCTTTGCCTTAAATTAAACCCAGATGTTTCCTTTATGTTCGTTTTGCAACAATGGTTGTGTTTGAGTGAGGGTATTAAAGAAAAGTATCAATGATGAGCCCTGTTGATGTTGTGGCGTCATTTCAAACAAATTGACGTTAAAACTGTAGCGAGTCAGCGACGTTGCTAAGTCTGTGAGAGAGAGAGAACTGAGCTGCGGAGTCTCTCGCTCTCAACATCAAATCAAACATAACTATGCTTAAGATTTCACGGAGCAGTTTTCAGTTTAAGAAACCAACGTTTTGAAATACGTATGATTTTAAAGTGACTTTGTTTTGACTCATTGTTTTAGCAAAAGAGGAAGCTTCGGATCTTCATATCAAACACCTTCAACCCTGCAAAGCCAGATGCTGAGGACGGAGAAGGCACAGTTGCATCGTGGGAGCTGCGTGTTGAAGGGCGTCTGCTGGAAGATGTAAGCTAGTTGAAACACTTTTATTTCCCAAGTTGTGATTGTTTGTTTAAATCTACTTGTGAGTGTCCAATTCAATATGACATGTTGTAGATTAGATTTTAGTGTGCACTAACAAAAGCCATTTTTCAGCTTTGCGTCTTCTCAGGATAAGTTTTGTGTGTTGATTTTTTATTAAGTTGTCATCAATGATTATTTGTCAGTCGTGCCTCTTTCCCTCCAGTTCCTTGTAATATTTTTTTATAGCAGCGGTTTAACCTAATGTCTTTCTCTTCCATTACATTTTCTTCAGACAAATAAAAAAAGATAAAGCACCAAATAACTCACAGGGACCCCACACGCTGACATTTCTGTCCCTGCAACCGCTTAATTTTTTTCTTCAGTTTAATAAAGGGACAAATCAGATATTGGAGAATTCCCTCTATAGGCATGAATCGGTGGCAGTTTTGTGTATTTGAATATTGAATACATAATTTACCTTATGTATATTTAATTATTTGTCATAACTGTTTAATCCTTGGTATAATGACTAAATTATTTTTATGTTGGTTATGATTTAGATCCTTCACTGAAGGGACCAGACACACACATTACATAGATAATTCAAGCAAAATAGCTTATTTCCAAAAATAACATAAATAACATTTGCTTTGCAGACAGCCGTGTCCAAATATGAAGCCACCAAACAGAAAAGGAAGTTTTCTTCTTTCTTCAAGTCCCTGGTGATTGAGTTGGACAAGGACCTTTATGGTCCAGATAATCACCTTGTGGAAGTAAGATCATTCACTTTGTTTCTCAGCATGTACAACTGAAGTCTTCCTTTTTACGAATGAAAAGATAATTTACTGTTTTATTATTATGAGATGTGAAGAATCTTAAAATAATAAATCATTTAAAAATACCACTATGGCATTGTGAAATAAACATGTAAATTCATAGGCATATAATTAAACTTAATGCAGAGTAGCTGATTGGATTAGTGGTCACTAATTGTATTTTAATGCTAAGAATCTGTTATAACTGTTCTGCTAAATGAAAGCATATCTGTTTATAGACTGATAGTAAAAATCTATATCATATCTTTTAGTGGCACAGGACCGCCACCACCCAGGAGACTGATGGTTTTCAGGTGAAGAGGCCAGGTGACGTGGGTGTTCGTTGCACCGTCCTCCTCATGCTTGACTACCAGGTACATCCTCAGTGGTTTTTCTTCTTCTGTGTCTTTTGGTCATTTAGAAATATACAGTGTTTTTCTTGTTCTTCCATCTTTCAATAGACACATTAACTAATTTGCCACATTATAAAAACAAATTTTCCATGCTCCAAACAGCCCCCTCAATTCAAGCTGGACCCCCGGCTGGCTCGAATGCTGGGTATCCACACCCAGACCAGACCTGTTATCATTCAGGCACTTTGGCAGTACGTCAAGACCCACAAACTCCAGGACCCTCATGAGCGCGAGTTCATCAACTGTGACAAGTACCTGCAGCAGGTGAGCGGAGCCCTGTGGGAATGTAACGCATCTTAAATTGTTCCGTTACTTCAACATGCACCAAAAGAGGAAAAGGAGATTAAACAGAATGGTTCATGAAGCTCCATTGACAGTCTCATAGTTGTCTTGGATAATGGTCACTCTTGGTATTGCACAGTCACTCTCCCCTCCAACCTTCTCTCCTTTTATGGAGACTCTCATTCTCTCTGGGTCACTGACTGGTTTCCCTGTGAATTCTTTTCTATGCTGCCAAGATAATCAGAGGATTGCAGGATGTTAATATAACGTTTCTATAAAGTTAAAGTGTGAAATAATATTAAGCTTGACAGCGTATGATACCTATACTGTCAAATGTGGAATAAAGACTTAGTTTGTGGATAATAGAGCGATTCAATCGGTATAAATCAGAAGTCACAACTACTTGAACAGCAGAGAGAGGAACAAACCTTGGGAGAATAAAAGAAAAGAGCAGAGGAGAATATATTTGTTCAGAGTAGATACGTCAAACACACTTGAGGCTGAGCTGTGCATCATAGCAACAGACCATCACTGGCACCGTGTTCGCTGCAAGCCTGAGATCTATGAATAATTCTTTGATATAAATTGTCATTCACAGTTCTACATGGTGTAAAAGGTGATGCCTTAAAACTAAAATCTAAATAGCTGCAGACTTTCACATTTGGGAAACTACAAGCATGCCTCTAATTGTATTTTCTTGTGATGTTAGTGATCTATTTCTCAAGTACACTAACAGTGAGTTGTTTTCATTTGTTTCAGATTTTTGAGACCCAGAGAATGAAGTTCTCTGAGATCCCGCAGCGCTTGCACGCACTGCTGATGCCTCCAGAGCCCATCATCATCAACCATGTGATCAGGTACTGGGGTGGTGTATAAAGGTGTCATCAGTAGTTAGTTTCCCAATGAAATCTAGCACAAGCTGTCACAGGACTTTTAGAAAACAGGCTAAATGATCACATTTCCATCCACTGCTGTTGTGTAAGTAGAACAAGCTGGATAAACAAGATAAACTGCTGGTGGCACTGATTTCCCTGTTTGTTCATTTTTGGTTTTGGTTCTGTTGCTATGAAAATGTTACCCAACATAAAAAGTGGGTTTGCATGTACTCTTATAGGTTGTCAACACATGCTGCTTATGTAAAGGTGAACACACAAAAATCACTGTATATATTTTCCAGTGTGGATCCCAATGACCAAAAGAAGACTGCTTGCTATGACATTGATGTGGAAGTGGACGACACTCTGAAGACCCAGATGAACTCCTTCCTGCTCTCCACAGCCAGTCAGCAGGAAATAGCAGGACTGGACAACAAGGTAGAGCTGTCGCCAGCTGTTCTTTTCATGGATGTCACCAAGTTTTGTGTTTGTCGCCGAGAGTTTATGAAAGAAAAGTGTGATCGCAGCGGGCAGTTGTTTCTTGTGAGCGTTTAAAAGAAATTCCCTGCGGTAGAAAAACGCATTGGATGGTTATTTTTCTTTCCTTATCGTTTTTATCAATTGAAGATGTAAGTCTTGTCAATTTCCAGCTTCCATCTGCTGTAACTGCCTATGCAATCTTAAGCGCTTTCAACTTAAATGCAATGTGTTTTTTTTCCTATTTCGTGAACCTGCTGAGGCTAATTTCACACATGTGCTTCCCCGAATTGTTGCCGGTGTATTATTGCCTTCTCTCTAGTCGGTTTTGAGGTCTTCTTGACCTCCTGCTGACAACTATTACCGTGACCATGATGGCTACAATGACGCTGATAAGACATGAAGCCGTCCTCCTGTGTCGTCTTTGTTCGGAGACAAGTCAACAATATAAATTCAGAGAGCTTGTTTGCTGTTTGGAGACGCTATTCTTTTTTTTTTAACTTTATTCCGAGTATTGTTTGCTGATATACACCCTGTTCCTGCCGGCCTGATATCATATACAGTTTGTAGCAGAGCCTGTCTGAGTTGTCTGCGCCACTGTTGACACACAACCAGACTCACTGCATTCCTTCTGCCTGTGTTCAAACCACTCTTTTCAAACTAGACCTGTCATGGATATAATGATGTGCATGTTTATTTTATAAAAACACAATGATGAGGCCATAGAATAGAACATTACATTTTTCTGGTGTTCAGCACAACGACAGCCTCATTTATGTTTGAAACTAGAGGGCAGCGGAGAGTCAGGAGTTTCTGACAACAACAATTGTGTCCCCGGTGGAGGAGGTTTAATAAGACTCATTTAAGGCTAAGGGGGTGAAGGAAATGTTTAACAAGCAAAATGATCTCTTGATATGCTGTTTGATTCATCTGTCTATAATAATAATTGATCAATACCTTATTCCCTCAGATCCATGAAACCATTGAGACCATCAACCAGCTGAAGACCCAGAGAGAGTTCATGCTGAGTTTTGCCAGAGATCCTCAGGGCTTTATTAACGATTGGCTGCAGTCCCAGTGCAGAGACCTCAAGGTCAGTCTGTCCGTCATCACCTAGAACTGGATCTTGAAGTGAACTTGAAGCACTTTTTGTTTTTGATATCAAGTTGTTTCTCCTTGAACAACAATTCACTTGAATCAAAGCTGTTGTCAGTGGAGCGGGCTTCTTCTAAGTGTCTTTGTGTTGCAGCATGCTTTTAAATAAGAGCAAAGGTGTAGCCGTATTATGTTTTTAGTTTGTAGTTGTTGTGTCAGTCACTCAAGAGAGAAAACACTTTTAAGCCTGAAGGTCTCTTTGGCTGAATGTTTGTTTGGTCGACACATGGATCAGAAAAAAACATTCGTCAAGAAGCCGCCGAGTTCTGAACATCAAATCGTTGCACTTAGTTTTTAGCCTCTTTACACACAGAACTAAGCAGGAGCACGTTGAGCTGTTAACTTAACAATTAAATTCTTGTTTACAACTGACTGAACCACAAAACTATGATGCATGGAGCAAAAATACAAGCAAGAGAAAAGCCTGCACTTCTAAATTCACACCTGGATATACAGCACTATCACCAACAGATGATAGATACCTGTTGTCATTTAAACTATTGAAAACCACTTGACATTCGCTAACGTCTCAGAAAGTCCGATAATCAGCAAAATACAATTGTAAACGTACACGCTGGCATTTTGAAGCCTGAGTAATCTTTAAGTTCAGAAAATGTCTTCCTGTCGAGCTGTGGTTTGCTGTGTCACAGTGACATTGATTTAAATCCAAGCTTCATCTGCGGAAAGACAAAACTTAAATGATGTAACTACGTGGACACTGTCCACACAAGCTCCCTCTTCACACACTGGAATCAAGCTGCTAACTCAGGTGTATGACAGGAGCAGAGTGGACGTAGCATGTGATATGAATAACATGTCTGACTGGATTCACACCAGACTTCCCTCTGACCACCTGTCATCCACCTGCCGTGTGGAATCTGTGGAGGTGAACAGAGTCAGTCCAGATCTCGCTCCACTACAGCTTATCAGACAAAAATAATTTTGTATCAGCTCGTCATCGTTTCTGCAGCGTTTGATTCAGTCTCTTAAATAGAATCCCTCTTCCTGTGTTTTGATTTTCTGTTTGATTTTTCAGCCTCTGAGCTCATTATTGTTTATTTTCTGTTTACAGACCATGACTGATGTGGTAGGAAACCCAGAGGAAGAGCGTAGGGCTGAGTTTTACTACCAGCCGTGGGCTCAGGAGGCCGTCTGTCGCTACTTCTACTCCAAGGTAATCACCTTTTCCTCCGAGTGTTTTTTACTCCTGTATTTTTCCCTCTATTTTTAGCACCAAGCATCATGATTCCAAACCATATCATATTAACAACTCCACAAATGCACTTCAAATCTTTCTTTGGCGATGCTCTGTTGAACACAAAGTATGACACAAACCTACACATCAGCCATATTTATTGTTTGTGTCTGTACAGTATTTTAATACATTTCCCATGGTTACATTCTCGTTTAACTGTTTTCAATGCTTGGAGTAAATAATGGTTATTTTATTGATCAATGTGTTTGCAGATGATTTTCTCAGACATGATCATTTGTTAATGAAAATGAAAATCACTTGTAAGAAATCCAGATAAAACAGTGATGCCTAAACAGTCAAAACCTTTTCATCAGTAGTTTTCTGTTTTTTAGAATCGGAGCTATGAATATTTTTTGGCATTTTCTCATTGAGCTTAACAAATCTTTTTATAATCAGTGAATCTGCTGATGATTTTTTCTATTGCAAATTGTTTTTTCCAATCTGACAACTTCAATTCGCTTCAGTTTCTGACCAACACACCAAGATAAAAGTTTACTAGGATATCTGACGAGAAGCACACAATGACAATCCTCACATTTTAGAGAATATAAAACATCTTGACTGGAAAACTAAGAATAACCAAAACAATAAATTGTTTCGTCCTAATAGCTCCAATTAATTATTTTAATGGAGACACATCAGTCCTTCGTTTCAGCTGATTGAAAAAAGACTCTCTGTCCTGATGGTCTAATGACACCTGTCCTTCACACTTTCATCGTGGCGTCGGTGATTAAATCTGTGTGAAATTGTTTTTCAGGTCCAGCAGAGACGACAGGAGCTGGAGCAGGCGCTCGGCATCAGGAACACCTAAAACCTGTCTACAGGTCGTAGATGTGCTGTCAGAGAAAACTAATGTGTGTGCGAGTGTGTGTGCGGGGGGGATTCAAACTTCTTACCACTGGCGTACAGACGTAAGACAAACCCAGAAAGACATAGATACTAGATGGTTTTACTGTTATATATGTAGGATTTTTCTTACTTTCAGTAGCTACTTCCACACTTTTGTACGGTTTTTATTTCCCCCTCACACGAGAGCTTCTAGAGCACAATGTATTTTCTCTTGCATGTCTGAGGTTGAGGCACCTGGAAGCATTCCTTTTCTCTCCATACAAACAAACAGACTGAACACAGAAGCAGACGGCAGAGTGAACCTGGAAATGTCTCATGCCCCCCCCCCCCGTTCTGGAAAGTAAATCTACTTTGAACACTCCTCTCATGGAACCCTGATGCTCACCCCTTCAGTTAGATATTGATCGTGACTGTGTTTGTAATCAATCAAATCACTCATCGTTCTGTTTGGACAGTTTGTGCCACAGTCGGTCGTCAGTCTTGGCAGAATTTACATTTCTGTGGAAAAGCGGTAACTTTTTGTTAAGTGCCATTTAGTATGAAGTTAGTTTTTTCCTTTTTTTGTTTATTACCATTGATCTTTGTTTTTGATATTATGTATTATAAAGTACTTGTCTTGTTAGCTAGTACAGATTATCAAGGAAGTAGCTAGTATGAGTACCTCTAGTCTATGTAGTTTTGTAAATACTGAGCAGAAAAAAACTGAAGATGGATGTGAAGTAAAATTGTATCTCTTATCCTGACAGATCTTTTTCTTAACTTTTTGTCTACGCTGCAATAGTTGAACCAGTATTTATATTAATCGGCCCTCGCTCTCAGAGCCCAGTGATTTAGCTCCCGCAGCATAAAGACGGCAGACACGTTTGAACCACTGCTCCGCAGAGCTAAATGCACACCGCATTCATGGCGCCTGCGAGCTGGGAGGAGTTAAATCTACTGCTTTTAGTTTTGTGTATTTTTGAAAATGTGCAGAGAAGCTAGAAACACTTGAGCTCCGTCTCACATGTGGACGAGCTGATGTGAAGAGTCGTTGCTTCTTTGACACTTTGCTGAAGACCTGACACCTCTGTGGTTTAATGGTTGTTTCACTGATGAAGACGAGGGTCCTGGCTGAAACTCTTGTGTGTGTGTGTGTGTGCATTTCATTAACAAATTCCAAGAATACACTAATGTGGGTTTGGGGAGATGCATGATTTGAAACGAGTTGTGGGAACCTCTGGGATGTAAAACGCAACACTGGTGGGACTGCAGTAATATTTGAATCTGCAGACTTTTTAATGGACCAAACCTATTTTTCTGTATGTTCTTATTATGTTATAATAAAGGATATGTAAAATGTAGCTGTATGTGCACAGTTCTTTGTGTTGTGTTTCTGTTTATAATGAAAAATCACATTTACATGTTCCTTTATCAAATACAATTGATTATTTGAGAACAACAAATGTTTAAGGAATTGTTAAGAACTCAACTTGAGTCAAAAAGTGATTCCAATACAACAATTAAAAAACACTTGCGTACCTTTAAGTGATTTGAAATGAAGACATGTATTAGTAATGAAGTATCACAAGTATTGTGCAGTAAAATATCTCCTGAATTCTTCAGGAGGTATCCCTGGCCTAATTTAAATTCAAAGTACTTCATTTGATTCATTGTACACATTTCCTGTGAGGCAATATTTCATGCTCAAGAATGTTTTTTTTGCTTCAACAGTTTAGTAAATAGTTTATTTGAAGTCTGAGTGGTTCAAGTTGAAAAGTTTCCTTTGCACAGATACGATCAGAAGAAAACATATTGCTTTTCTACTCTGAGTACATTTCAGAACCTGTACTTTTAAACTTTTACTGAAGTCGTGTTTGACACATGTATTTGTACTTCTACTTGAGTGAAGGATGTGTGTACTTTCAGCATGTGTGTGTGTGTGTGAGGTAAAGCGAGTGGGGGGGCGGCGGGGGGCGGAGCAGACCAACCATGAGCAGAGGGAGGGCCCGGTCCTCCTCAGCTGCGTGTCCGGTATAAAACCTCTGTGTCTCGGCCTCAGGGCGTCTTCGCACCGGCAGCTGCTCCGTCTGGAAGGTCAAACACAGGATGGCGCCGAAGAAAGTGTGTGTGATCGGCTCTGGTAACTGGTGAGTAGAGGTTTTCATTGTTCTGATGGAGGTCTGTGAGTGTTAGTGAGTAGAAACCAGGCAGAGTGCAGGTGTATCACTGCAGCTGTGCGCAATTCTGGGTTCTTTTTGTTTTTGAGTCTAAAAGTTTGCAAACTTGTCAGCATGAAGGAAACTTCAGTCCCCGTGAACCTGAATGTGTTTTATGAGATTGAGAAACGTGGTGAGAGAAGTTGTTTGGCTCCAAAATCTTACTCGGAGACTCTCCACACTGCTGCTTGTGTCATTTAACAACATTAGAGTTGAACCAGCTTCACCCTCAGCCTGCATGACCTTTACTGCAGCCAGGGCTGCAGGAAGCCTCACTCTGGTAAAGTAAAAATAACACACTGTAGACGTACTCGAGCAAGTCAAAGTAGAAATAATACACGGAAAGGTTCTCCAGTACAAGTAGAAAAAATACAATGGAAAAGTAGAAATAACACAGTAAAAGTATACCAGTACAAGTATAAATATCACTCTGTAAATATACTCCAGTACAAGTAAAAGTACATATACCTCACAGTAAAGGTTCTCTAGTAAAAGTGAAACAATATATGTATATATATGTTTTACTTTTACTACAGGGTAATTGGGCACTTTATCTATAATGCATCATGTTTCATCTGTAAATGTGTATATGACATAGTAATTATGTTAAATATGGATTTAAAAAAAAGTTTTTGCAGATAATGGAAACACTCAACACAGAAAAAGTGATATATGTAAATACCATGTAAAGATATTAGTTCTGTTGATATTTGATTCCCTGTGTTGGAATGTGAAGTTTTCATTTTTCATCTCCAGAGTTATTCTTGTCTGGAAAAGCATCTGAAAAATCTTTGAAGTCATGTGACATGAAATATTTACAATACATTAGAAGTGAATGAATGAGGTTGTATCAGCTGACCTCTGTTTACTAGTGAGACAACTCTGAGATATGTTACTGTCATTACTTTGGACTATAAGAAATGTTAATCCATTAATGATTCACTGCAGATCCACATTATAAATGAAAAATCCCAAAAGCCCAGTTTAAAAAAAGATTTCAGATCCATGTACAGTTTTTATTTCACAGGCAAAATCAGAGGAATGTTTTCCTTCTCTGTGAAACTATTTGTTCCAGCTGACACCAGAATGATTCTCTACGTGTGTCCACAGGGGCTCTGCCATTGCCAAAATCGTGGGCGCCAACGCAGCCAAGTATGACAAGTTTGACACCACGGTGAACATGTGGGTGTTCGAGGAGACGGTGAACGGCCGTAAACTCACAGAAATCATCAACTCAGACCACGAGAATGTGAAATACCTGCCCGGTCACAAGCTGCCCCCCAACGTGGTACGATGAGGAAATGATATCTAAAATCTGATATGAGGGAAAGATTTCGGGAAAACATTCAGTTTGCACTTTTCCCTGAGTGAACTCTTAATTCTTCTCTCCCTCAGTTGGCTGTTCCAGACTTGGCGGACTCTGTGAAAGGAGCCGACATCCTGATCTTTGTGGTCCCTCACCAGTTCATCCTGAGAGTGTGCGACACAATCAAAGATCACATCAAGAAGGACGCTGTGGGAATGTCTCTCATCAAGGTAACATCCACAAAGGTCTGTAAGGACTGCAGTGTTTCCTCTCTGATTTTCTCACGTTGGTTTTGTGGGGGTCTGTCTCGTGCAGGGCATCGATGCGTCGCCAGAGGGTCTGAAGCTGATCTCACAGGTCATCCGAGCGAAGCTGGGCATCACCATGACGGTCCTCATGGGAGCTAACATCGCCAACGAGGTCGCTGACGAGAAGTTCTGTGAAACCACCATTGGTATGAGTTGAATTCTTGATATAGCATGTGGGGAAAAATGGCATCTAACTTAAACTTGAAGTAAGCAGAGTGATGTAATGGAACTAAATACAGTGGTTACCTGATAAATGATTTGATGACATGGCATCAGCACATTTTAAGTACGTTGGAAACATGAGTACAGTAAGTTTGATGTTTTTTGTCTTGTTAAACACACATTTTATTATATTTCTTTGAAATAATTGCACTATGAAAACTGAAAATAATGTTTTCATTTATTTTTGCTGACAGGGTGTAAAGACAAAACAAACGGGTCCATGTTGAAGGAGCTGATGCAGACCACCAACTTCCGTGTGACCGTGGTGGAGGAGTCTGATGTTGTGGAGATCTGTGGAGCTCTCAAGGTTTCTCCTCTAATCTAATCTGACATTGAAACCATTAGAGAGCTGGCAGACACTTTCATTTACGTCTGTGCTTAAAAATCCTCAATGAAACACAAAGATGCTTCAGGAAGATGATGTTTTTGTGGTTTCATATTTGTAGACATCTACTGAACTTTCACTGTGTCTGATTACTTCAGACGTGTTCTTATGAGGTTTACATGCTGCTCACTTTAAAACTTTAAAATGACTCGTTTAAGATAATCATCCAATAATTGGTCCAGAAGTTTTGATTATATTTAACAGGATGTGTATTTACTGAGAGCAGCACAGAGATAACACCAGTCTATAGTGGCCATTTACAGCGCAGGTCTCCTCTGTCTGTCGTTGCAGAACATCGTGGCAGTCGGAGCAGGGTTCTGTGACGGCCTGGGCTTCGGTGACAACACTAAGGCAGCAGTGATTCGTCTCGGCCTGATGGAGATGATCGCCTTTGCTAAGTTCTTCTGCACGGCCTGTCCCGTCTCCCCTGCCACCTTCCTGGAGAGCTGCGGCATCGCTGACCTAATCACCACCTGCTACGGTGGACGCAACCGCAAGATCGGCGAGGCCTTCGCCAAAACAGGAAAAGTACGAGGAAAAAGTTTTCTCCCCACGTGTTTGTGTTTGTTCATCTTCATCTGTGATATTAATGTAAAACCCATCATCTGTGTGTTCAGACCATCGAGCAGTTAGAGAACGAGCTGCTGAACGGACAGAAGCTTCAAGGTCCAGCAACTGCGATGGAGGTCCATGAAATCCTGAAACAGAAAAACATGGTGGATAAGTACGTTTGTCTCATATTTGATCACAGTTGATGATACATGTCAGTGTTCAACTGAGTGTGTTTGGATTCTACTGCAAAGAAGAGAATTAGATTGAGTTTAATCAGATTCTGCATTATTATATTATATTATATTCATTATATTTTATTTTATTTTATTAATTATATTATATTATGAGAAGAAAAATTACAATTATTTTGACTCACTGGTTTTTGCACAAATCAAATGAACAAGATGCACTGTTTCATTTATTTATTTATAAATAAGTTAACCTAATGCTAAGCTAAGCTAACTGGCTGTTAGCAGTAGCAGTAGCCTCATACATCAATTCAATTCAATTTTATTTGTATAGCGCCAAATCATAATATACATTATCTCAAGGCACTTTACATAGAAGGCCAAGACCTTAAAATTGTATTTATATAGAGAAACCCAACAGTTCCCACAATGAGCAAGCAACTGTGGCTTTAGTGACTGTGGAGAGGAAAAACTCCCTCATTAACAGGGAGAAACCTCGAGCAGAACCAGGCACAATGTGTGCGGTCATCTGCCTCGACCGGTTGGGGCGAGCAAAGAAAAGGGATCAGTATGAGAGTGGTTTGAATCTTCTCATCAAACTCAAGAACATAAATAAGCTTCATTCCAAAAATGCCCCAAATGTTCACCTGCTCCTTTTGAATCGTTTCTAACATCATCCTCCCGTCTCTCCAGGTTTCCTCTTTTCACCGCTGTTTACCAGATCTGCTTCAACAGCCACCCCGTCACTGAGTTCATCAAGTGTTTGCAGAACCACCCAGAGCACATGTGAGGGACCGACGCACAGGGAAAAGGACTTTTGCACTAGAAAACCAAAGAGTTCAATGACGGACTCGTCAGCTGAAGATTGTGCCTCATCCTGAAGACACTCAAACAGAGAAAAGAAAGAAACCTGTTCTCCCTCTGCCTGAGCTGCTGCCTGCTGATATTACATCACTAACAAATGTCTGACTCCTCCCCTGCTCTAACTTAAAGATTTCTGAATGTAAAAATGTCACCGATCAACCAGATCTGACAGGTGTGAAGAATTTGAGTTAAATACACACAACCCTGACCTGCATGTCACATCATGTCTTGGGTAAAAGTGCCTTTTCACAGTGTTAAACAAAGCACTGAATGCACAACAGCCACCACTCCACTGTATCGAGATGTAAACGATGAATGAATAAGGTTTATTTTTGGAATAAATGATTATGGTGTGTTTTCAGAGTTGCCTCTCTGACTCGCTGGTGTCCTGCTGCAGGATTCACTCACACTCTGCAGCCTCACTGTAACCTGACCTGAGCTCAGCCACGCTGCCACTCTAAACTCTTCACCTTTACCATTTTCTCCCGTGTTACTTCAACCTTTCTTTGAGCACATGCCTCAGTATCAGGCTTCGTAACTGATGGTCGTGCAATCGTCCTTGATGAAATATCAGTGGTAGTTAGCTCAGCACGATTATAGTTTGCTGTGTTTTTCAACCCACTTTATCAGCAACAGTTTTTTTATTCTGTTGATTCACTTGAAAACATCTCTGGGGATTTCTGCTAAAATGCAAGAAGGCCATTGTGTTTTCATCAACAGCCATCTGTCCCTCACCATATGCCGACGTATTTGAACGCCGCTCAGTCCCTGTAAGGCAGTGTGCATGAGAGTGTCAGCTAAAGGCCTCATGAAACACTGTGGAAATACAAATACTCCACTCATCCTCCAAACATATATATAAAACACAAAAATCCTCCCCATGCACGTTCTTTTGTTCACAGTAAGGTTCCACTTTTTTGTGTTCATCAGCCCGTTTGCTCTGACGTGTTGTGGACTGTGAAGTTGCATCATTATCCGTCTGTTGAATGCTCGATTCCCTCGGTGAAAATCTCTCACATAGTTATTGAGTCAACAGCCCGGTGAGATTTCTAATAATAACGTGCTCCAGAGAAGCAAATGTCCATCTATAATTAGACGGCAAGACAACACTGCAGCTGCCTCATCCTCTGCAACACCAATGGAGGATGCCTGTTTTTGAAAAACTAAACCATTGTGGTGCCACTGAATAATGTGACCGTCCTGTGTGAGCGACTTTTAGCTGCTTCATATTTAAACGGTTCAGTTTCCAAAAACCTGAGAAGGCTTTAAAGTGGCCTCAGACTTTTTGACCTCATGGTAAGTTTGAGCTGTTGCTGAATATTCCTTGACAGTTTGTAGTTGTAATACACCCTCTGGCCACTTGAGGGAGCCACCTCCTCAGCCACAAGCCATTACTTATCATCCGCTTTGATCCGCTGCCTTTGATACAGAACTTTATGAGATAACTTAATCTGCTGCTCAGAGGAAGCAGGTAAAACCTACAAAAGTAAAAGAGCACAGTTTTGATATGACAGTATGAGACTGTTGTCTGGTTCTAACAGAGAAACAACAGGGAGGTCGCATGTACTGAAGCACTGAACCCATCCCTCCACCCAGGGAGGAGGGACTCCCTCACTCTGCTTCCTCAATCCAGTCTCCATCTGTGGGCGGCAGCCAAGGTCTGTCAAGTTAACTGGTGACAGCCAGACAGCACAGGAAGCTGAGCTGATCCACTTTCAAAACTAACAAAATCTATGAGAGAGGAATAAGAAGAGCTGGATTGGGACAAAGTGAGAAACTAACCAGGGGCCCCAGAACCATAAGATGAAGGAGGGAGGGCCCATTGTAGCAGATACTGTACTTCAGTATTAGCTGTATTACGTGGAAAAGATAAATGTTGGGCATTTTGGGTGGTGTTGGTAGTAGGTAGTCTGCTTTTCCTGGTTGATAGTCCAACTGGGAAAGCAATGGCAGATCCACGATTTTTCAAAATTGGGGCCCTTACTGGGGCCGCAATTCACACAGAGGGGCCAATTATATGTCTGACATCCATGCACAATTCCTGATTCAGTGAGGTGCACATTTAAATCCTTCCGTATTTACTGTTAGCTCTATATTTTTGAAAAGTGTTCCTTGTTTAAGCTTTAAAAATACTTTTACAATAGAATTAAAAGTCTTGTCATATGTATTGTTAGTAAATGACCCAGGTAGCATCCAAATGTGGGTCACTGGAGGCGATGATGCGGCACTTCTGGGCTTCTTGTGGCCGGGTCACAATGACTCTGAGCCCAAACTGGCCCACTTGTAAAATAGCAAATGTGGACCAGATATTCCAAATTAAAGTTTGGCAAACATGCTGTTCTCCAGACAAGGTGTAATCTGGATATGTGAATATGTGAATGTACTGCGCCCCATGTGGAGAAGATGCAGTAATATGTGGTATTGCTATCTCCTACTCATGACCCAGATCTGGCAAACATGAGCTGATCACCCATGTGCCATCATTCCGTGCAGCATGTGAGCCGGATGACAGAGTGGCGATGTGACATTATGGGTCAAATCTGGGCCAAGAACAATGTTGTTGGGCTTGGCTGCAGAACTCTTTGAGCAACCTGTTGCAATAAAACCCCTGCAGCCAACCTCCATACGCTTATGTGGTGGTGTGGTTACATAGATACCATGGGCCACTTCAGTTTATGATGCAGGACCTCTGGCATCCTTGTTGCCTGAAAAAAATATGGATGTGAGCCTAAAGTGGCCCATGTGGTAAATGGCTGGCATGTGGTGTTGCTCTGGCTTACTTGTGGCTCAGATCTGGCAAACAGGAGGTACTGTATGTCTGGTTGGTGGTCCAGTGTTTGCTTTGGGAATATGTAACAAAATCAATATCATCCAAATCAAACAAACCAGTGATTCTCTTCTGGATTCTTTCAGGAGCTCAGTGGTTTCCCTGTTGAACACCGTTATGAGTCTTATTTTGAAAAGTGAGGCGGAAGCGGAGCTGCTGGTGAAGCTGCAGGAGGAGGAGGAGGAGGAGGAGGAGAAGAAGAAGGAGAAGAAGAAGGAGCTGGTTATTCATCACACAAGGGTCGCAGGGGCAGAAGTTTCTGAGCTTTTCTGTGGAGGAGGAAACTACTTCTGTGACCAGGGAGACGAGCTTCCACCAACATGGCTGCGGTCTCAGCCTGGTTCTGGAACGAGAGGTTTTGGCTTCCACACAACGTCACCTGGGCGGATCTGGCGGACCCGGCGCCCGGGGTGGAGTATCCCAAAGTCGGACACTTGTTTGCTGCCCTGCCGCTGGCTCTGGGGATCTTGGCCGTCAGGATCTTCTTCGAGAGGTTCGTATTTACCGCTGTTCTTCCTGTGATGGTTTCTGTCTGGTGAGGGAGGACCGAGCCCATCATGTCCTCACTGCAGCTGCAACAAAGTACTGCACAAAGTACTGCACAAAGTACTGCACATCTCACTTTCCCTCTGACAGACAGACATGTGCAGGGAAGTACTTTTGAACACACTGACTTCAAATGCAGCCATTCCCCAAACTCCTGTGATGTCATCACGGATAATCGATAACCATTAATCACTTTGATCAGGTGTCATCTGATGCGTGTGTGTGTGTGTGCAAGTGTTCATGTTGTTCTTATTTTTATGATCTGGGTTTATTCATCCAGTCCTGTGCAAAAGTTCAGCTGTGTTCTACTCAGGTAATAACGTGATGACGTGACATTGTACTACTACTACTACTACTACACACACACACACACACACACACTGGCAGTAGTGACTTCATTCTTTTAAAACTGCAAAGCTGAGATTTGGTGAAGTTTTTTTTTGTTGCCATCCTACTACTGACCCGGCCCTCTTCCTCAAATAAAGATAAGGCCCCTCACTCCTGTGGTATTGAAAGAAGAAGCAGGGGAATTCCATGTTAGGAAACATCCGGGTCAGTGTGGTGACATTGACAGGGATGGGGGGGGGGTACAGCCATCCATCAGTACATCCTGATTCCTCTAAAGATTTCAGAATAGATTCAGTTGGTCTGAGGAAATCGAATTTGACACAGAAAAAACAACAACGGCAGACATTTGAAGAAAAGGCTCTGACAGCAGCGTTCTCGTTTGAGCTGCAGAACACGTTACTGCTGCACTCACCTTCCATCTACTCACAATGACTGTTGCATCAGGAAAACCACGCATCAGCTGAAACTTCATGTACCGAGCGACCTGTTCCACTCGGTTCAACAGGAAACTTTGTTTAAAGTTTCAAGAATTTGTTTAGATGATGATGTGAAGAGGAAGTATCTTCAATGACATGAGCAGCAAACCTGTATTTCAGATAACTGATTGTGCTTCAACACCCATGATGAACTTTTTATTCCATTTATCACAAAACATTTCCATTCTTACTTTTCTTTATCAAACAATAGCTATAGTGTTTTTGTTTGCACAGTGTTGAAGCTAGTTTGAGGTCATATGTAGGGCTTCAGGATATAGAAAAGGTGTGATACACTACTTCAATATATCAGTAGCGATATGAAATAAGATAAAGTGGAGCTTTATACTGATCTGGCTCTTCATGATCTCCCAGGACTTTAATCACATGGCACTGGAAATATCATACTTTTTGCAGATTGTATTTATTATTCATTTTACTCTCTTATACTTATTTCTCCTTTTACATATTTCATTTCTTTCCTAACTGTGGGGTTTCTCCTTGCAGGGACAATATCATTTTTTCTGACTATAACTATAATGAGACAATATAAATCAGTGATATTGCGGCCCCGTATCTTAATGACTTTTTGTCCATGTATTGAATAAGATTGATTTACTTAGTGTTTATTTCTTTGGATAAGCAATACACAGACATTCTCAACTGGTTGTTTTAGCCGTAAAAAAAAGTTATTTCAATTGATTTTCATTAAAGAAATGTAAACTTGATGCATATTGATGCAGCCATTTTGAAATTGTTTTTAAAGCTGTAATCCATCTCGCTTAGCGCTGTCTTCATCAGGTCTGTCATTGTATTTACAAGCACATGATAGATGTGCTGCACATAGACAGTATTTTTTTAATGTCGCACATTTTGGCCTTGGCAGCATACACAGAGACTCTGATATAAATATGATTGAATGTAACACAAGACAGTTGTTGTCACTAACATATCTTGATCATTCTATTGTTCGTCGATCATTTGATCAAGGGTCACATCATAATGACCTTTGACGTAAACTGCTTGCTGTAATTGTCCGACATCAACGAGACAAATACAGGTAGTACACCTCAATACTGTATATTATCAATACATAATACTGTTTATGATATTGAAGGAGACATATGCTCATAATCCGATTCATACTTTTAATTTCTGTTAATATTTGGAAAGGTTTACATGCTCTGAGGTTCAGAAAACCCTTCACTCTTATCTGTTACTGTTCATTGTTGCAGCAGTAGAAAGTATGAGGAACGGTCTCTGTCTGTAACACTTGGTTTTAGCTCCTGTATCTTTAAGACCCCCCTCTCGATAAAGCCCAGTCTGCTCTGATTGGCCAGCTGACCCCCTCTGTTGTGATTGGTCAATGGCTTCTAGGAAAGTTTGTGTTCCGCTCTCACTTTACTTGGCTTTGTCAAGGGGGGGGGTATCAGGTTAGCTTAATGTGCATCAGGCTCGTTGGGGCTTTGTGATGTCACATGACATCACTAAGATGAGGAAGTATTGTTTGGTTTAGTGGCAAAGTGGTTCCGAGTTTCAGGAGCAGGTTTTCTGTGGAGAGAGGAGCTCCGTTTACTTTTACATACAAAAAACCCCAGAACACACGAGAGGAAAAACTGAACAACTCATATCTCCTTTGAATATTGCCGAATGATAGAGGTAGTGTTGTGACTCTTTTGGCACCTACCTACCAGCCCCAAGCACAGCGTCTGTCTTTGTATTTTTTGGTTCAGACGTGGTCAAGTGTCTGTAAGTCACGAGCGATCAGATACTGGAGGTGTCTGAGGCGAGCTGCTGAGGTGTCTGTCCCTCTCTAACAGGATCCCGGCCTCGATTAGAGCCTGAGTCCAGTTTGATCCAGGCTGATGTTATCAGAGAGTCCTGTAACCATACGACACTCTGAGCGGATGCCTGGCTCATTCATTTATTTATCAGAGAAAAACATCACACCACAGCTTGAGTTCCGCCTCCTCTTTCTGTAACACACACACACACACACACACTGTGTTTATGCATAGTAACAGTCACACAATGATGAGTTTAGATAAGGGCTGGTTCTCTCAGACACGTCCGACCAACTACTTTTAATCAATTAACTTTTAATCAATTAACTCATTCTAGTAATTCTTTAAACATGATCCTCAATGTTACTTAAAATAGAAACTCGGGACTCCTCCAAGAAGATGTAACATTGCTATGGGTTTATATTATGGCCACCAGTTTCATTTATTTCAACTTGGCTTAAATACTCAATCTCATGCTGTTGTCACAGAGTACAAATCAGTTGCAAGTGTGACACTTCATTGCCACAGTTTTTGAATAAATCCGTAATTGACCCAGTTTTTAAAACTGAGCTGATTTAAGATGCAGATTGTTTTCAGTTTCCAAAACTCCCATAACCTGAACGCTGCATGTCAGCAGCACACGGAACGGAGTTTTAAACTCTATGATTTGATGTTTCTTTCCAAAAAGCATCTTGGGGTTTGTAGTTAACTTTACTTTTATCCATCACACTTATATTTCAATTGCATCAATCTGTTTGTCTTCAACTGACATTTCTCCCTTCAATTCTTATACTTTCACACTTCACACTAGAGCTGCAGAAATTAATCTATTCATAGAAGATTAATTCAGCAGCTTTCTGGTAATTGACTGATCATTCTATTAGTAATTAAAGAAAAATATGTAATGGTAGTTTTTTTTGGTCATATTCGGTGGTAAACTATCTTCAGTGTGCAGCCACACGTATAAATCACCTCAGGCTTTGAGGAATGATAAATATTTTCAGTATGCTGAAGCCTGATATTGGGGGGTAAAATAATTCTGATATCGATATATCGGCCGATGTGTATACTAGAAAAATTGGTAATGATTTGTAAGATGTCCTTATCGAATCTTGATGACAAAAAAATGTAATTGAGGGTTGATATTTTAAAGGTAAGCAATAAACTGTATTGCAAATAACTATAAATAAAAAGAAAATACAAATATAGAACTTGAATTAAGAAAATAATCATAATTTTGTACGTTATATCTTGCACAACTTTTCTACATTGTTTATTCAATAAAATACGTTTTCATATCGATGCAGATCAGAAAACATGTGCTGATATATCAGTGAAAGGCAGGATTTTTATCAGCTTTATCCTTTAGACTGCATTGAGCAAAAATTGTTTTGTTCTTGGGAGGCACAGAACCTGCTGCATGTCTCATCTTCGTCATACTGGTTTTAGACAAAGTAATCTGTGTGATAACTTGCCCTAAAAATGAGATAATTCATGTCTGTCAATTAGGAAGAATTGTCACAGGCACATGAGAAAAAAGTTTAACATCATTTTTTCTTCATTCCTTCACTTCACCAGCCCGTGCTGCTTTTATTTACCTTTGTCCTTAAAAATCAGAGTTTCTATATGTAATCATGAAGCGTAACTGCAGGATTCCTCGTTTACCTTTAGGCAATTCCTCTCTGACTAGACCAGTTTCTTCTTGTTTGATCAGAATCGTGGCTCTGCTGTTGGCTCTGACTTTGCAGCCGGGTTGTGTGTTCGGGCTCAGGCCCTCGTAAGCCTTGTCATGAGTTAAACTGCGTTAAGACTACAAACCTGGATGTGTATGGCATTAGGAGCAGACAGATTTGCTTTGTGAGTTGTTGTTAACACCGATTCCTCTTAAACTAGCTACAAGGTATTCCGTCTAAACCCCAGAGGAAGCACAGGAAGAGACTTAACATCCTTCTTATTCTCTGCTCTGTTTATCGCATTGTTTGTCCCCAGAATCATGTTTGTCCCACTGAACTGACACAAACTGTAGCTGAACAATTCAAATGAGAACCACAGTGAAAGTGTCCATGAATAGAACTGAGACTGTTCCTCAGACATGGCCCTGGCACTGGGAGGTTTTCCCCCATGTCAAGGTTGTGTCCAGCCTGCGGTCAGGACCACTCGCCTCCATGCACACACAGCACACTGTGCCCGTGCCTTGTTAACAGGCTTTGTGTCGGAGTGATCCAGTTTTGAGGAGGAACAGGGACGTTTTGACATGTGACATAAATAGATTAGCATGCGTCTCTCGCCTTTTCCCCCTCTTGTTGCTGCAGAGCGACAATAACCACTTCAGGCTCGGGCTTGTGTGAGCTATTTCTGTCGTTTCTCCCTCCTGTTTCTCATAAATCCTGAAGGCCTGTGCTTACAAGATAATCGAGACTGTTGCATCTGTGCTGCATCAGCTCATCTTTTATGATTGTGATTGAGTAACAGTTTAACAGAGAGATTGTTAGAGAGTGAATTAAAGTACTTATTACCACGTGGTCAGTTCCAGTCTCACTTTTTGGCTGAATCATATTTAACACTGTGCTGAACTTAAAGTTTTAAGCGATTAAAGGTCCGAACACTGATCGCTGTGTGTCGCACTGTGCTCGTTAAAATGGTTTTATGCACTGTAACAATGAGATGTGGATTGTGATGTTGATTGTTGAACATCATCATGTCACATATCCAGTCGAATGCCTCTGCAGAATACACTTTGAGGCCAGTTTACTATCAGTGACGTCACATTTATGTGAAGTGAAACTGCTTCACAAATGTCATGGAAATGTGGGAAAGTGAGAAAATATTTCAAGAACCAGTTTTTGAGTCTATAATCATAATTAAGATTGAATTTGGCTCAAGCTTTTTCTTCAAATTTCTTTATATAATAAATTCAGCTGCACAGCGTAGACTTTGTAGAGGTTATACAACCCAGGAGCGAGTGTGATCTATGTCCCTGCTTCAAAGTAAATGCCACTAAAGATCAAGAAGTAGACAGTGCTGAGGGCCAAATCAGGTTCCTGCAGGGAGACAATAAAGAAACCGGGGGATGAGTGGTGTGTGGTTTTTACGTCAGACAAAAGGCTTTGTTTTTTTCTCTGTCCCACAGATTACAATGGCTCAGGCTATTTTGTGGTGAGTGTCAGATTCCCTCCGACAGTAACTCCTCTCCTTGTACACGGCAGAAGACAATAGAGGTTTTATGATAAGGAGGATTTTTTATTGAAGTTCAGTATGGATTCAAGATTGCTAAACCGATACCTGAAGAACCTGATTACTGTGAAGAAGCACCAGGTGAGGTTTCCAAGTTTGAAATGCAACCACTTTCTCAGGCTACATCATGAGAAGAGTTTCTTCATCAATGAGGCTTTTGTTTTAATCAGTTTACAACTGAAACATTAAAAAACACCCGCAAAAGAAAATGAGCTCACTAGAAACTCATCTCTTGATTCTTTTCTCTCTTCTGGTTCATGTCACTGACTGATCATACAGACATTTACATTTATGTTGATATTCTGCCAAGGCCCAGCAGTCCCTTCAGATTCTGCTCCAAATCTCTCCTGTTTGTTTGGACATAATTCTAAAACGTTTGAAGCTACATATAAACTGTTGATTCCAGACTGAATGTCAGCTACACATTGCTGATAAAAATAAAGTCTTCCCCCCAAATTGAAACCACATTTAAATCTGCAAGTTCACATTTACAATTCTAGAGGGGCGTAGATTTCCTCTCCTCAGTCCTTAAGTCCCCTCTTTAGTCCACGTTTTAGCCAGAGGCATGAACATCCTGCACTTTGAATTCCTGTTGAAGTTTTCTGGACCGACAGAAATATTGACAGTCCACTCCAAACTGCAACTTACCACTCACCGTGGAGACCTCTGAAGTTTAACTTACATCAGACTCTTTACAAACAGACCAAATGATTGCTGCTCATTCTAACTGAATACTTCAGATAACAGCATGAAACTATCAATGTGATGTTTTCAACCTTGTGTTTAGTAGAAGCATGAATAACCGGCTCTAAATCAACAGCGCACTAAACCCTGAGCTGCAGAAATTAGAGACTGACCTTGTGGATTCAGACCCTTGTCTGTTCAAATGAGCTTTATTTCATTTACTTCAGCACCACGTCTGGAAGTCGCTGCACTTCTCTTGCTCTCCTTTTTTCCCACAGAAACAAGTCGTTCAAACTGTAGAATCCACATGTTAAGAATTTCACAGGAATGAATTTCCTTCAGGAATTTCTGTGTATTTTTTTTTGCAGCAGCCGCACTGACGGTGCACACAGCCTAGCAAATGATTTATTGGATCTTTTTTATTATGCTCGACAATGGAACGGTATTTTGAAGGGATTGTCCTCACAGTTTCTTTTGGCATGAAGTGGTACATGGATAGTTGAGATGTGTTTGTTGATGTCCAACTGGCAAGGGATTTAACTGTCAAAATCAGGATTTGCCAACACATCTGCCAAGGATTTATGCCTTATTTGGACATGCAAGAAAGCTCACAACTATTATTATTTATGATCATGATACGCCCACATGGTTGTATTATAACAGAAAGCAGTGGCCTATCATAGCTAATAAGCCGTTCTTTGTGCACGTTTAGTCTCTGGATAATTTATTAGATTAATCAGATCAACATTTAGGTTGAACTCAGTTGAAATGGAGAACAAACATGTTGGTGAGGGTCACACAAGGTCACAGTGTTCCCATCATGAAGAAGGCATCGCAGAATCACTGGGGGATTTTTCAGAATCTCCCCCTCAGCATGTGTTTCCTGTGTTTCATCCACTAATGGTCATTAGCTTGCCAGGCTAATGCAACACATTAACCACGCGGTCAGAGAGGGATGAAGGAGAAACACAGTTTATAAATGTGATTTGAAAAAGACTGAACCAGACATGAACCTGCAGCTTAATAGAAGTAGTAGTATGACTTTATTGGGCTTCAGTTCATTGTAATGCTCTGTAATTCTACATCACAATTTCAAAATGTTATTGTTTTAAGATATATACGTTTGTTATCTGCTCACTGACGGAATGCATCACGTCATCCTCTCCGAGCCGCTGTGCAGGTTTTAACATCACATCTCACACGCTGACCCTCTGTTACAGATTTATTGCCAGTACCTGTGCCCAGCGTCTCCACCTTCAACCAGGTGTTGGAAGAAGAGCTCAGCCCAACACAGTGCTGGAGAAAGTTTATACATCCATCACAAAGGTTGGATTTCTTTTCGACAGCTTCTCTTTCTTTTCTTTTCTTTTTAAAGAAGCATTCAGGTGCTGGAGTATAAAGAATAGTTGCCATGTTAATGAATTCTTTTTTTATACTGTTGTGAATAAACATTCACATTCCCACATCATACGGGGCTTTTTTTCCTCCCTGTTGGGTTCCTTAATACAAACTGACGTTGTTTGCTGTTTCTTCTCTCTGCACAGAGTCCAGACTCCCGACATCTGGACGGCCTCTCCAAACAGCTGGACTGGGATGTACGAAAGGTCCAGCGTTGGTTCAGACAACGCAGGAACCAAGACAAACCCAGCACACACACTAAGTTCTGCGAGAGCATGTAGGTTCATGTCTTCTGTGATCACCTTTATCTATATCTGCAGGCTTGAGCAAAGCATGCAGTGGTTGCGATTTTGTATGGATGTGGTATCTTTGTGGGGACAGCACTGAGTTTCAGAACGTCAGGTTAGAACATCTTGTCCGTTCCTTTATAACTTCTTCTTTCAATAATTTGGATTGAAATCTAAAACACACTTCCAATCACTTGTTTCTCAATATGAGTTATGGCATCATGTTTTTTCATGTTAGCGTTGGGGCGAATGGATGTTAAATGTTTGATGTTGCCTCTTAAATCAGTCGTATTTCTGAGATCATAATCTCCTCTCTTGTTTTTCTAGGTGGAGGTTAACATTTTACTTGTGCATATTTATCTATGGCATCCGGTTTTTGTTGCAGGTGAGCAGAGTCTCAGATCGAGCTTGAAAACTATGATAAATCGTCTGTGTTTCTTCATTTGTTCACAATTTAAAGGTTAGGTATATTTCAATATGTCATAGCTTTATCATTGGTTTACTAAAACAAAGTTTGTTTTCAGTCCCCTTGGATGTGGGATACACGACATTGCTGGTACGGTTACCCCTATCAGGTATGATGCAGTTCTACTCCCTGTCTGTGAATCTTTAATGCAGTTCAATACCATTCAAGCCTCAGAAATCAAAGTTAAAGCAACAATATCAGGAAGTGAACAGGGCTGTTTGTATCAGTGTCTGTTCCCTTTACTTCACTGCTGTTTCCTGCTTGTGTGTATATAAGACCATGTGTCATAAAAGGCAGCAAACTAATATTAATATCATGTAGTGGATTTTGTATTTGGGAGTAAAACCGTTTTATTGTACACTTTAAAAGAACAGCCCTAATTTACTTTCTCCCTCTATATATATACTTCCACATTACAACTCATACAGATACTCAGCTGCTGCTTAGATACCATGTTGCTAAGATACTATTACCTTTGCTAGTGCTACGCTCGAATTACATGCATTCAACCATGATATCGTCCCTTGGGTTTGGAGATGTGATGATATAAACTACGAGATAATGATGTTGTTTATACTTTGTTTTGTTTCCCTTGAACTTCTCTGGTTGGATCAGACCATGTCGAGCTAGTTTGAAAATCAATGAACACAACTGATTTATTTCTCTGTGATTACTTTGTTTTGTTTTGGGGGTTTTTCGCCTGTAGATTCAAATGGAATTTCAAATAAGTTTGAAGGTAAATTTGAAAACAGTGTCGGCAATAACAGTCAGAGACAGTCTGAGTTAAACATGAAATTGTCCTGCTCAGTAATTTTAAGCTCCATTAAACTCGTCTCTATCTGCCTTCTCCTGGCTGTCCTGAGCCAAGTAAAGACCAAATTGTACAAACAAATTCTACAAAAATAATGTAATTGTGCTTATATGTAATCACAATACAAAGTTAAATATGCTACGAGTAAAAACTTTATATGTAATTCATCTGCAAAACCGTTTAATAAACGCTGTAATCTCCTAATTGTCATTTAGATTTCAGTCACATACACACCCCCGATCACATTTCCATCAGATAACATCTCAAGCTGCAGGTTCACATTCCGATTACAGCAGTATGATTCAAATATGCTTCACAAAGATGTGTTATCTGTCTAATGCTCATTCAGGGGAGCAGAGTTTTAAACCCTGGCGCTCTGCAAGACACTTTATCTGCTGTGTTGAGAGTGAATTACTGTAGTGTTGACAGAGCCCATCACATTGTCAGGCTTGACACAATTCACTGAAAAACACAGCTTCTCACATTGTATTGCCAAAGTAACTCAGACCAGGATGTGTGTGCTGATTTGCAACATTGCTGCTCAGCGGTGGTCACATGTCATCCTTTCACATCCAGTGTTGTTTATTTAAAATGAATAAGTTTGTTCTTTAATCCGACTCCTTAAACCCGCCTCTCCTCTCTGTGTCTTCAGGTCATGACTCCGGGTCTTTACCACTACTATGTGACAGAATTGGCCTTCTACTGGTCACTCATGTTTTCCCAGTTCTCCGACATAAAAAGGAAGGTGAGAGAAACGACTCTGGCTCTGTGAGACTCGACCACACTGGGTCCTCTGCAGCTGCCGCTCCCTGTTAGACTTTTGTTAATACGTCTATTGTTCCTCATCTGGCAGCGACAGAGATGTGTCAGACTGTGTCTGCATGCCTGATCAAGGTTGCAAGTTTTTCTAATGTATGCACATGAACACATGGCGAATTAAGACCGGACCTGACTTTGTTACAAGCTCTAGAGTTGTGTTCACTTTGGAGGGTCACGCTGGCAGAGCTGCTGCTGCTCGCTGAGTGAAGCCCTTGTATTTTCAGCACGAGGGTGCCTGCAGTCATGTGATTGCAGGATGGAGCAGGCCTAACTCTAGTAGAACGAAAGAAATTCCACACAATGCCAGCGTATTAGAGCCGGAGCTTCAGCCACAGACACTTGCCTTAAATGTTTTACATGCTTTTGCACCACAAATGTCTGGAATGACTGATGAAGTCCTCCAGTGATACTTGTTTTATATAGTTTTAATTTCATGATCTTATGGTAAGATGAGGCTGGTGAAACTCATCTTTCTGTAGATGTATGTTCATGAGGCTAAAAGCTGTGGTAGCTCAGTTGTATTACAAATATTCATTCTAAAGTTCTGTGTATATTTGCATATAAATGCTCACATTCTATGCTACAGTAGTGATTTTATAATTTAAAGAGATCAACAAAGGAATCTTTAAACATTCTTTGAAGGTGGATGCTAAAGGTTTTGACATTTTACATGATTGCACATTGAAGTTTCTGTTGTTTTAAAAGACCATTAAAGTTGCAGAATGTATTATTAATTATTTTTAATAATGATAAACAAGTGAAAGATTATTTATTAGTCTGAATATGGGGAACTTTGATGTGATACAGCAGCAAAGGGGAAAGTAGAAATAACACTATTGTTAAAGTTATAAATAAGTAGATCAAATATTACTTAATTGCACAGTTAAATGAGTTAACAACCTGACTAAGATTTAAAAGGAGCAGTGCACATTCTTCATTCTTACAGCAGCAGCAGAAATTCATGACCAAACATACTGTTGACCAACTCTGCTGCAGATCTTCTGTCCACTCACTGTCTGCTGCTGTCAGTCCAGATGACCGAATGGTCAGATGCACATGTCTCTGCTCTTGTGTCTCTGCCTCTGTTGCATAAAACAAGTGCTGCTATTGGGTCAGATTTGATTTCAGATAACTTTCCGTCTGTTCGCTCAAAAAGAGTTGAGCACTGTTAAGAAATTACGATGAGGAAATTCAGTATTTATCTGGAGTTTTATGCAGCCACAAAATGTGATCTGTCCTCTCACATGTGTCTCTAAAGGCCCCAGGTGTTGAACTGTACATGTAGATGTAGCAGCTTTGTGGTTTAATGATGCACTCTGTGTTTTATCTCCATCTTCTGACAGTTGACCTTAATACTGATGTGATATATGGGGCTGATAGAGGGCGTGAGGTGATGATGCTAACAGGAAACGTTCATATATTCTGTGTTGCTTTCTTTAGCACATTACACTGCTGCTGCCAGACGCTTTAACCCACATAACTGATCATAGATCACATTCCTTATATGGACCAGTGTCCATTTGCTTTAATGTATTATTAAGTATTAAATGCTTTGGTGCAGACAAAAGCTCTTACACTGCATTAGACAACTCAATTAAAACAAACGTCATAAATACTTAATGCTGGTCTCCCAGCACAAAGGAGAATCATGGTGCAGCGTGATGTTCATTGGCTGGAATGACTTCCTCATGAGTGCTCCGCTGCTTGATCAGCATTGGCTCAAAACCCATTTATAAGCCACAAAAAGTGATGGAATCGCCTGAGTGATTTATCCTAAGGGGGGATCGATATCCATCAGTTCATCCAATAGTTGATATATTTCTGTCTAGACGCTCACCGTGTCTAACCTCTTTATAATTTCAGGACTTCACGATCATGTTCATCCATCACCTGGCGACAGTCGGCCTGATCAGCTTCTCCTACGTCAACAACATGGCGCGGGTCGGGAGCCTGGTGATGTGTGTCCATGATGCCTCTGACTTCCTGCTGGAGGTCAGAATTTTATCAAATGCACCAAACTGGTGTTTTTACATTTTTTACTTTTACTACAAATCAAATGTAGTTTACTTCACTTAATCTCTGGTCTTTTTTTTCTTTCTTTTTTTTTATCATAGCTTCTAATCCATTATTTTTTAGATGTTCTATAACATGGTCACACTATAAATGACCCTAATACTTCATACCTTATTTACAGACGTTTTTATATATAAGGGGCCACTTACTGTAATGCACGATGTGATGTAACATTTCATTATAAGGAATTACCATTAATTCACTAAGGTAAGAGGGATACATTTAAAATACAGTCAGGTGCTGTTTAAAACTATGCAGCTTTGGATTTAACATACAGTAGTTTCCCATTAGGATATTTATTGTTTAGTAGCCTTTTATCAGTTGCTTTCAGAAACAATAGATATGAAAACTGATTGTTGTTTATGAAAGAAAAAATAATCTTCACTTCACAAGACTTAATAATATTAATTTATTTATTTTTTCCAACAGGCAGCCAAGCTGGCCAACTATGCCAAATACCAGCGCCTGTGTGACTTCCTCTTCATTGTGTTCAGTGTGGTTTTCTTCATCACACGACTTGTTATATATCCAATATGGTGAGTTCTCTGTGACACCTGCAACCTCAGCATGAACTATGTAAATACTAACGTTCAGTTTGAAAATCACTCCAAATATTTCCATGGTGTCTTTTCCTGGCAACAAAATATCTGTGTTTTTAAGGAAATGTTTGATCAGGAATCGTCTTTCAGCAAAATGATGATCTCTCTCCTGAATGTTTGCCTTTGACTTTTTTAAATGACATAGCCTGCCTGCAAATACGATGCCTACAAACTTGTACTTAAAATTGTTGACGTATATCTATATATTCTATTTTTGAAATGTTATTTACATAGCATTTCCTTTTTCATCTTTATCTTTCACTCATCTTTTCCTCCTTTCCTTCTTTTATATTATTACACATTAGCTTTTAGTTCCCCCTCTAGAGTATACCACTTTTCATATTTCACAGAATGTATTTGTATATAAGTTTGTGACAAATAAATATTTGAATATTGAATCTAATATTCTAGCTTTGATAGCAGCTGAGCACCGGTTAGAAAATATTGAATTTCAGGCCATATCCCTAAACTCTTTATATTTAATGTGAGTGGTGAGAAACACAAGCTCTATTACAGGAGAGTAATGGAAGATTTAAGAATGAAAAGTATCATGGTCTGATGTTCAGAGATAACTATGATCTGATGCAACCAACACATGCTTGTAATTCTGATGAGGCAATTTCCAGGACGGCCGCGGTGCCCAAACAGATTCATTGTTGCACAGATCTTCGGTAAAGTTGAAGCTTAAAGGAGCCGAGTCGATGTCGACTGTTTCTCGACAGACGTGGATGTTGAAGCTCAACCTCCAGAGACGAACAATAGGGAGCCTATCATTACCAAAAGTAACCTGAGCAGCTAGATTCAGTGTCTTGGTGTGGGCGAGTGATGAAGCTAGTGTTGCCGCTGCAGCTACCCTCACTGAAATCCATACCTTTGCAGGGGGAGGCAGGTCTGTTGACAACCACCTGTCACTCATGCAGATTTAAAGGACGTGACCTCATCCACCACATCATTTCACCTCCTCGGCTTCCAAACGGGAATTACAATCTGTGCCGTTACCTCATTAGAGAAGTGGTTAATGAAATGATGAGGCTGGACATGTTGTTGCTCCTGCTCGTAAATATTCCGTCCACTTTCTGAAAGTGGTCTCAGACTTTTGAACCCCATCGTATGTGCCTTCACTCAAACGTCCTACACCTGTTTGTCTCTTTGTTTCCCAGGGTCCTTAACTCCACTATGTTTGAGAGCTGGGACATAGTCGGGCCGTTCCCGTCCTGGTGGGTCTTCAACATCTTACTGCTCGTCCTACAGGTGCTGCACATCATCTGGTCCTACCTCATATCCCGTATAGCTGTGAAAGCCATGCTGCGCGGCAAGGTGGGTCACTCACCGTCAGGCGAGTAAACAATAAGTCAGAAAATGAAACACCAGCTATTTGGGGGTTTTGCTCTTTGTTGCCACAGTAAATTTATTTTGGTCAAATAAAGCAAGATAGAAAGATGTCACCCTCTGCTCTCAGAAACCTCAGACCAACGTTTTGGTTCCTTAATTGATCATAAAATCTACTGAGTTGTTTGACATCTTATATATTCAACATTTCTGTCAGGAGTCATTGTTTTCCCACTATTACAACATGCAAGTCAGGCGTCTTTGTTTTTCTGATACGAGCACCTGTTACTTTTACTTCACTGCATTTGACAAAAATAACTGCTGTGGTTTTTTAAGTATCGGTGTGTGAACTGCTGAAGTCACACTGTTCTGTACAGTGTAACTTCAGTTTAATAGTATTAAATAGACAAACTCCCTTACTGTGTTGATGGCAAAGAGAACAGTGTTACAGAGTCGACAGAGCAGCGACACGGCTGAATAACATCCAGGCATCTGTTTGTGATCAGAACGTGTTTATTGAAACATACAGAATAACATCACAGATATTTTTGGTGATGACGTTGCCGTCTCAACTCTTTCTCCCAGTCTGTCCCTGACTCTGTCTCATCTCTCTGCAGACGCTGTTTGTTTCCTCTCCCTCTGGAATGAGAGAGAGAGATCCTGTCTTTCTTTCTATCTTTGTCCAATGAGCCAATTCCTGCACTTCGCTCTCGCTTCTCTCCATTCGCTTTGTCCGCTTGACAACTTTACCTTCTCTGTTTCTTTGGCTGTAAGTTTCTGTTCACCCCCGTTCTGTTGTGATTCCTCTTACACGTCCTAATTTCATCCGTCCTCCTCATTGCAATAAGGATTTAGTGTAGCTGCTGTGGGTTCAATTGGACGGCTGCTGTTACAGTAGATTGACACTTGGGTTCAACCCCAGTCTCACGTAGAGAGCCAGTAGGAGGAGAGTTGAAAATGACGAGTAAAGTAGTAACAGTGTCATGAATGTCAGGTATGTCCAACTGTTTCTCTTCAGGCAGGAGTGGGTTGAGATTGTTCCTACACCACCACCCTGTGGTTATGACGAACAGCGATTTAAACTAGAAAGACGTTTGTCAGAGTTCTTTAAAAAGATAAATGAAAAAGACAGAAACTTATTTCAAATAAGGCAACAGCAACACGCTAAACTGAAAGTTTCAGTATCAAGATGGAGCAGACATTTTCTACACATCTGACCTTGTTGATATAAAGTAACACCCAATCATTGGTTTCACGTCTATGCACTGTTAACATTTCAGTCGGACTGATTGTCCATCGATTTCCTATTTTATTAGAATAGGTTTTAAAGGGTTTGAATTATGAACATTTTTTATTGTAGCATTTCACAGAAAGAGGCGGTTTTCTTCTCCAAATTTCCTCGAGATTAATCTCAAAAAGTAAAATGGGAAAACAAACAAAAGAGCAAACCAACCACTTTCAGTTTCAGCCAGTTTTTCCTCATGAAATTCTGGAGTATCTACAGATCTCTGCCCACAAGAATGGAATACATTTAAATAAATCAATCAATAAAAATGGACTCTAGAAACGAATGGATATTTTCTGATTCATTGTCACTTTGGTATTAAGTGGTCATGGCCCAGCAGTGTGAATATAAACATTAGCATGATTGCAGATCAGCATGTGAGAGACATCAACGTGGCTTTAGACAAACCCTGCAAAGATGAACCACACAAACCGTAGACAAAATGCATTTATCTCACAACTTATTTAACAAATATGAACTCTACAGCCGATGTGGCTCTTTTCTTTTGGGCTTTGTCAGTAACAGAGCTTCAGAATGGACAAGCTATCTGCGACTAAACTGGAGGTGCGAATGTAAAATAAACAAAGAAATAAAAACTACTTGAAAGACTTTTTCCAAATCAGTTTTAAATGTTCACATCTTAATCTGTTCATTAAATAGTTCCCTCTTCATACTGGTGCTGAAGAGATTCTTCTTAGTGTGAGAGATGGAGGTCAAAGTACACAAGAAACTCTGCAACATATGGGCGTGTCAGTGTTATATTAACCTGACCGTGGAAAATATGAACTTGACTTTCATGTCATATAACAACAATGTCGACAGTCACAGCGTTATATGGCAGAATGATAAAGTGCCACTTGAAACGTTTCCTTTTATTCATTTATAGCAGTGATTAGGATTTCTTGTGATTAAACCTGTGTGGCTTTAACTTCCTCATTATTCTCCCTGTCTGCCAGGTGTGTAACGACGTCCGCAGTGACATTGAGAGCAGCTCAGAAGAAGACTTTGACACGCCCACAGACGCCCTCAAGGCTCCTGCTCATTCTCCCAAGGGAGAGAATGGCACTAACGGCCACTGTGCTGCCTCCAGAGCTCAGGCACACAACCACAGCAGCTGGTGACATGGTCCCTGGCGCCCCCTGCAGTTTGTTTTCCTGAGCGCTTAGTTTGTCCTGTGAAAGTCGTGCAAGCTCCCTCTCACATTTGAGACACACGCAGTCTTCAACCACACATTACTCAGACAGCGAGTGTGCACAGATTCACATGTTGGTGAACTGACGGATACACAGATACTTGAACAGCACAACTCAAGAGGGGAAACAACATGGAAATCAGTTGTAGCAAGTGATTTAGCCTTTTTCTTTTAAACAATTTATTTTGTGTGTTTGGCTGCAGATGTTGGTCGGTTTCAAGGTTCTCTCCCAGTTTTATTGGTCAGATGAACTTGATTTATTTTGTTTCCATGGGTTCATTTCATTTATAGGATAGAAAACTCTTCCTGGGGCGGGTTTGACCTTTCAAGGATTTTGCACTTCTTTATTCAAATTTAACAAGTCACAGTTGTTATTCGTAGAATATCTGCTTTATGTGGCCGTCTCTGCCCTTTGCAGGTTTGTGTGCTTTTACCCTTGAACCACAGTGTTTGGCCACTTTGTGACTTCTTGTTTTGTTCCGTTTTGCAGTTTTTTTAACTTCTCCTGAGACCAAATGTTTATGAAATTGTTTGATGTTACTGCCTATAGAAGAATCCAGGTATAAGGACCATAATGTCTGCTCTCACTGAGTGCCTTGTAAAAATGTTTTTCCAAATATATTCTGTTGTTGAAAGACAACTTTTTTAGTGCAGTTCTGTCTAGAAACACTTTTACACTGTGTGGTTAAAGGCATTTAATTTAATACAATTCAAACAATTACAACCATCTTCACTTCTGAAACGCTCATAACATGGATGTCAATGTTGGTTCATTTTCTAGATGAGGTTTTCATGAACAAAACATCTTCCTTGCGAGGACACAATACCCGCGACAAACATCCCGATTGGAAAAATCATGTTTGTGATTTTAGCGATGGACCAAAAAGAGGAGGAATGGGGAGAAATGTCCACATGTGTGCAAAGAGGAGATCAGTCTTTGATGATTTCAGGATCCTGATTTTCTGCTGCCATTTTCAGCGCCTTTTGCTTCTGCATGTATCGGTATCCTCGCATGGCACACATGTATCCTCCGTACGCCGTCAGCAGCATCATCGAGGCAGAGAAGGCCCGATAGCCGAAGTCAGCCAGACGCTTCCCAGTAACCATGGTGATGAACCTGAAGGGACCAGGAACATGATGTCAGAGCAGCATCAGCAGCAAAAACACTTCACAGCACTGACGAGAAGTAAAGTAGTTTTACCCAAGTTATTTATTGTTGACTAATTTAAAGCTGGGATTTTGCACCATCATTTATAATGTGTTCACTGTCTCCTAAGTTGTATTAAACAAAATACATGTTGAGTTATTTTTATGTGATTTTCCACCATCTTATAAACATTACGATATTATATGCAAACCACCATACAGCATTCTGTCCACATCAGTAATGCTGGACTCATAATATATTATATACTTGCTGTCCCTTATTAAGGGAAATAGTCTTTAACAGGCTACGTGTATCTAATGGTAAATATTTAACAGATAGTTGTTTTACATACAGAACAAAATAAGCTTATAAAAGATGGTATCACGGTTACAGATTAACCAACAAATAAAGCACATGATAAAGTTGGCTCCACTTCAATACAGCATCCAAATACTTCTTCTATGTACCTTCTATTAAATATCATGATCAATTTATTCTAGATTACACAAATGGTCACTTTTAAGTAAATTATACAAATTATTAATCCTGTACCTTATAGTACTTAAAGGTACAGTGTGTAGACTTTAGTGATATCTAGTGTTGAAGTTGCATGTTGCAGCTGAACACCCCTCACCTCACCCTCTCCTTCCAAACAGGAAAAAGAACCTGTGGTAGCTTCGATTGTCATAAAAACTCAAAATGTGTTTAGTTTGTTCAGTCTGGACTAATGTACATATAAAGTATTTAATTACAATTCATACAATTTAGATGAAATGAACAAGAGAAAATATCATGAGGATTATTCTACAATGAATTTCTGCCAATAGTTCCCTTTCACCTAAATCTCACACACTGGAGCTTTAAATACAGTAATTAAGGAAATCATGTGATATAACATATCATAGAAATCTGATTCAAGTCAACAAAGCAAAACTCTACATGTTAGATTGTTAAATCAGTAAATAACAACAACTCTTCCAGGACGAAGTCAAATGTGACTGAATGAAAATACGTTTGAACGCAGGAGACTTTTCTTATATTTGTAGTTGAGCACTTTAGTTCCCAGGTGAAGGTCCAGACTCTGGTGTAACTCACAGAATCACAACAACCACACAAACTAAAACTACAAACTACACTCACTCAGACAAACCATCGATAGATCCGCTTCAATGCTGTCAGGTGTTATTAGCATTAAAGGTTTGTCTCTGCACGTTAGCATCCTTCAGCTCAGCTTCGTCACTTCTCACACTGTTTTATCGACTTCCTACAACTCCACGTGTTTGTCACATCTCTTACCAGAGGACAATCTTTTAAATTAACGTCCTTACCTTTTATTCCGAAGCTGAAATCAAACGCAGGCTGTCGCTGTTTTCCTCAATGTCAGCGTGTGAGAATTAGCACTTGAGCTAACCTTCGCTTTCGTAAGCTACGGAAACCCAGAGGGAACGTTTTTCTTCTTCTCACAAACCCGCGGGTAAAGCTGCAGAGCGCCATCTAGTGACCCGGAGAATATTACAGTCACGTCTTCACACCACAAACTATAGTTTCCATAATATGATTCATCATAAATTAATACATTTGGAATTATGT